TTTTTTTTTTTTTTGTCTTTTAGCTGGTGATCCAATAGGTTGGGTCACCAATAAGGATAATGTAAGTATTGTTTGGTTTTCTTAGTTAATGTGAGTTAATTTCGAAAATAGTTAATATGGTTAGTTGTTACTGAAATTTCAAGTTTATATTAAAATAATATTTAAAATAGAATGGTTAAATTTGATGTGATGAAAAGTATGAGATATATGATGTAAAGTGGTGGTTATATAAATTATATGACGTGATAAACAGTGAATTAAAATTGATGTGATGTGTAAGAATAATTAATATTTGTTAGTCATGTTGATAATATTGAGGATATTAGAGTTGGGTTAAAATTGTGTTAGATTTGAATTAAAAAAATAATTGGTTAAAATTGATTGAATCAAGTGTTTATTTATTTATGTTTTCATTACTCCATAAATGAACTTTTAAATTCATTTTATTTTATTTTTTTTCAAACGTGACAACAAACGACCCAAAATTATCACATATCATTACATCAACTGAAAACACAAACAGAAGAACAAAAAAGCTACAAACTACAAAAATGAAATACTATTATCAACTTGACATGATCTGTACATAAATTAAAGCAAAACAATTCAAATATTAAACACATTAATGAAAAAAAAATTAGATAATTGAATTCTTTCTTGAGACAACAGTTAGCCTCATCACTTGAGAACTATAATTATAAACCCAACTCACAAGTCACACACCATCACATACACTCTACTTCAAATAACATGAGAAACTCGTAAAGACGACAAGATGACAAAGATAAGCCATAGGAGCATGAAGAAAACACAAGTAACCCATGCCCAAGCTTTTGGGCCTCCAAGCTCGCCTCCTAACGTGCATCGTCTGAGGACCAAAACCCCAATGCACCCAACTGATGTGGCAAAAAACATGAGCAACGAGAAGCTGAGTCCCCTTGCATTCTCTATCCTCAACGGCTTCTTGTACGCTATGAAGTTGTATAACGTGTCGATCAGCCATGGCACCCCAATGCCAATGTATATATTCACCGAGTTGCTACATCAAAGTTAGATCAGTGAGCATGTAATAAATTCAACGAATATATAAATTGTTCGAATAGAATATATAGAAATTCAAAGAATTGTATTTCTAGTAGAATTTGAGTGTGCCTTGGCTCCCACCACTCCAGAACAAAAAAAAAAGGCGACGAATATAAAGAAAAAAAAAAAACCTGCAAGTGATGTTAGCTATAGCAGAATCTGCTGTCAGCTGCCTTTCGGCTGCAATCTTGCTGGCCACTAAATCGGGCCATGATGTTCCAGCAGCTAAAGCCGTGAATGCTATCACATACGGATTAATACCTGCATAATAAGAAATGTAAGACACGTCAGGGGAGTCCTTAGAAGAAAACAAACTCATTATATACTAGGAAAAATAGTCTTCTTCATCTAGTTGCAAACCTGTAACACAGCTGATTAGATCCGTGAGCTTGGTGACAACGAAAGCTATCCCGCTTATGAAAGCTAATGAGAAAATGAAAGCTATCCATCCATGAGCTATTTGATACGGAGGTACAAAGGCAAAGAGTAGTCTCCAGGGTGCACAGAGCAATTCATAAAAGGCTTTTGCCACACGTAATAATTTATTGCCTGATTGTCGCCTCTTTAACTGTCAGAAAGGAAATAAGATAGGGACAAATCATAAAAATGAACCTCATCGAAAAAGGTTCTTTAATTTTCTTTTGAAGTTACAAACACACTTCTTTTTCTTGAATTATTGAAGATAATTAGTGGTCCAATCATCATCATCATTGAAAAAAGCAGTTGCCATGAGATGGCGTACCGTGAGAGCATGAATAAACTGCTGTTTCCAGATTGACGGCAGATCAACTTCCTGTGCAGTCGAGTCTTCACAAGATTGTTCTGAACAGGATTCTGTAACGTCAGTATAAGGCAAGCTTTCATACATATAACCTGCAGTTTAGCGTGATTTTTTCTGTACAAAATAATAGAATGCTAAAAAGGGTATCCATCTTAACAACATTTTTTGTGACAGGCTACCGTTTTCTCTGAGATAGTGATATTAAGACTAACCAATGACAATTATCTATCGATTCATTAGTCGAGGTGAACGTTATTCTTGATTGAAATAAAATGAAGGGTAAAATGATTGTTCTATGATTGTAGAACAATGAACAGAAACAGGAACTTGATTTTGATTATATGGGCGAGACAGAACACATATATTTCAGGTTTTCAACATAATTTCTTGATTACCTGCATTACCAGAATGGATTGAGAAAATGTCGACAATATCCCTGCTTCTATCCGGATCAATTTCGATTAATTCGGAATACTTATCACGAATCCTATTGCCAGTTTCTGCTGGTACCCAGTCCTCCGGCCTTTCATCTCTCTTCCTAAGCAGATAAATTTGATGCCAAAGGTAAAAACTAAAAAGTCAAAGTTTTGCTTTTTTCTTCTCAGTAATGCATAAACGCCTAGGCTACTTTATCTTGTAAAATTGAAGAAAAAACAACGATAATAAATTATATCAACCAAACGACCTACAATGGGAGAGACACGTATGGCCAACGTTTATCTTGAGCATAAGCATGAGTAAGCAGCATACCAAACTGCAACACCGTGAAAAAGGCTTCCCAAAGTGTAATGACATTTGGCGTCCACACCTGAGAAGTGGAGATCATGCTTAACGTTTCCATCTTATAACCAAAATCTCTGAGTTTCGGGATTACACAAGAAAGCACAGACTGAAAGAGAAACATTTAGACAAACCAAAGACGAAGCTAACCGGATTTCGCATTATTTTATTTTTAAAGAAAACTTAGGAAACAATGGAGGTTCTTCATTCAGTTTTTAAAGTCTATGCATAATTTTTTTAATCACAGAAAAAAATTTAAATAAATAAAACAAAATAAAAGCATCACCTCTAATATAATGTACAGCCAGATATAGGCCCAAAATGACCAAAACAGCTCCACAAGCCAAACCCCAATATCAGATATCTTCTTGAGTTCTCCATTTTTAGGAACAACAACACAGACTGCATGTATCGGAAATAGATCAAATGCAGCTGAGCCCACGAGTGTTCCCGGGCCCAAACCTGTCCATCATATTCAACAAATCCAAAGAGACATTATAATCGACATTCATACTTGATTAATCCTGCCTCAATGTAAGTTAGGGGAACAAATAGAAATAATCATTAAAAACCCAGCAACATAAATCAAGAAGCCATCAGTACAAATGGATTTATACGAACCTCCGGCATACAAGCTTCCGATATTCCTTATTGCATCGATCGTGGCTAACGAAATCTGTGGGAAGCTAGTCCCGAAAGCAAGCAAGGTGATGTCAGCAATTGTATAATTCCATACTTTCACATGCTTAATGACTTTGGTTTTAGTACTGGGATCAATCACTTCTACAGCTCGGCTATGCTTGACCACGGTTTCCATCGACCGGAAAAATCGATCGGTTATGGCCGACAGCCCAACGAAACAGTAGCCAAGAGCCAGAAAGTACAAGAAACCCCTGAGGCCCTTACCAAGTTCTGTTTCGAAATCGAAAAGGAATGTAAGCTGGCATTTCCCATGGCCAGCTGTGTTGTTGGCCATCTTGATAAAGGGGCACTTTTTGTTTTTCTTGGATTTTTTCACGGCTCAAGCATGACGCCAAAATTGATCCTCCCAAACAACTGCCACACCTGAGAAAAAAAGATGATTTTATTTATTTTTTCAAGAAAACAGACCAAAAAAAAAAAAAAAGAAAAAAAATTGATCTTACCCAATAGAAAGTAAGTGTAACAAGGGCTTTGTTTGAGAGGGAACGAGGAGGAAAATTGGAGAATTATATACATAATGCTACGGTCCCGTTACGGAACCATTCTGTCGGGGTTCGTAACCGTTAGATCACTTATACCCGACGTTTACATAATGATCTAACGATTACAAACCCCGACAAAATCCCATACATATGAACTCATTTCTTTTCCAAAAAAAAAACATTTGTTTTTTTTTTCCAAACGATGAAAAGATGTTTCTTTTTCACTGTGGCATACCTGGTTGGTGAAAATTCAAAATCGTTAATTTAATTCAAAACCCAATTAACGAGAAGTTCATCTGTCGGCGGTCAAATTTGTTCCTATGAACCTACCATTATCGAATTAAAACGTGCTCTTTGATATTGCAATTGAAAATTACTCGATTTACGAGAAAAATAGAAGAAACAAGGGGAAAAAAGGAATCTTTTTGCCAGTCATACTAAGACGAATTACGAAAAAAACGACAAAGCTAAGCTAGGCACTGTAATTATAGGTCGAAATCAAAACTCTCGACAACATGGGAAAGAATAGCGAAAGCTCACCGTGGACGGTGGTGGCCGGGAATTTCACGGCGGGCAGAGATCTGGTAATCGCCGGCGATAATGGCGCATAAAAAGTGGAGAGTAGAAGCAACTGTGTGAGCCAGCCTATATGGTTGGGCGACTATTCTAAACTAAGAAGATGCGTACTTTATTTGGATTGTGGGATCATGAAGCAAGCGTGCATGCGAGAATATATAGGCCAATTATAATTATATAATAATAATACAATAATAATAATTTCAATGGAATATATGATTTTGAGCATTATGTTATTAGACAATTATATTCTTTCCACGGATATGGGCAATTTCAAACAAAAATGCCAAAGTATGATATACAAAATGTGACATTTCATAGGATAAATATGTATTTTTTATTATGAAAATGAACATGGCAACCCAATTAATGATTAGTTCACTTCATAGGAGAATTTGTGAATTTCAAGAGTGACAATCATAACTCATATTGTTTCTTAGCGATCTAACAAGGTTTCTTGTTCTTTTCGCTTTTCTTGTCAATTGAAGCTTTGTTATGTGTCAGGCTTATGGCAATTATATTAATAACCATCGATCATGCTGGTGTGCAAATGACCTCGACCGGGTGGAACGACTGTAGATCCACTCACGTCCGGTTCAAAGACTTGCAACATGGGCGAGGAGGTGTTTTCGGCATTAGAACTCCGACGATCAAGTCAATCCACAGTGATAAAGATGATGAACAATAGATATATAAACCTGCAAGTATATTAGAGTGTGTAGAGTTTGGATTGTCATACCTCACCCTTTTATATAGGGGTGTTAATTTGTTGCCCAAAATCGCGGGATGGGCTGCCCGAGTGCCCAAAACTGCCCAATTTTGTAAGGCCACGTGGTTCAATCCACGTGTGGTTCTTATACTGACTATATTCCTTCTTATCTATTAGTTTCCTTGCTAGACACGGTCTAACCATACGACCAGCTCGGTTCCCTGGAACTAGTTTGCCTTCTCGTTATGCTCATGCACACTGCCTTTTACATTGACCTGCATACCTACAGGTCAAGTTTCTACCAAACCATCTATGGGACTTAGCTCGACCTATAAGCGATCGAATATGCCTATGTTGTCACCATCGACCTAATGCCTCATCAACTTCCAGTACTTTCAGTTTCCCTCCTCGTTGTCACAGTAAGGGTTACTGCGTTCGACATATGTTGCTTGCACATCCCACGATGACATAGGGTATCATCTTATTTAGTTTCTCTTTCGTCAGTGTGATGACATGTAGGCCTATAGATGCTACTCCACCAGTAGATGGTCCCATAAGCTCGACCCGAGCCAGATTTGGTTGTGTTGGATGCACCGAAACGACCTCAACACCTCCTAGCTGGTTGATTTTCCTTCCAGCATCTACAGGCATCGTCGATGAACTCGCTAAACCCGATGGATGGGTCATCGGGATCACCGTCGTCTAACTTAACCTTGAAAAGCCCGACAGTGGGTCAGCTCCCAATGGTCGCTTAGAGACCCAAGCCTCGTCGAAAGTGGGCTCCAGATTCCTCTTGATATCGTCATTTGCGATGAATAGTGGTGATATGATGGCTTTTCGAACGCGTCCCATAGACGGCGCTAAAATGGTGTGCAAACGACCTCGACCGGGTGAAACGACCTTGGATCCGCTCACGTCCAGGTCAAAGACCTACAAAAATGGCCCGGGAGGGTTTTCCTGCATTAGCACTCTGACGTTCAAGTCAGCCCACCGCGTGATAAAGACATTGAATAGTAGATATATAAACATGCAAGTGTCTTAGAGCGTGTAGAGTCTGGATTACCATACCTCACACATTTATGTAGGCATGTTATCTTGATGCCCAAGATAACCCGGATGGGCTGCCTGAGTGCCCGAATTGCCTATTCATACTGCCCAGGTGCACGAAGTTCCTAAGTATGTTAGGCTACATGTTCCAATCCACGTGTAGTTCTTATCTTGATTATATTTCTTCTTATCCATTAGCTTCCTTATTAGACGGTCTAATCATACGACCAGCTCGGTTCCCTCGAAATAGCTCGCGTTCTCGCTGTGCGTGCACACTGTTTTTTTAGGTCGATACATCGACCTGTATACCTCGAGGTCGACTTTCTACCTGGCCATTCAAGGTCCCCAACTCGACCTAACGGTGATCCTATCTGCATGTGTCATCACCATCGACCTGATCCTTCATCAACCTCTAGTACTTTCTATCTTCGATCGACCTGTCGGTTCACCTGGTTTAGTTAGATTTCTCGGTTCGAGCTGACCCAGTATGGCATTCCATATCACATGAATTTAACAATAAAGTCGGCAGTGTTGATATGGGTTTCTAGCCATACGACTTGTGAAAAGATGAAATATAGCCACATTCAGTAGAAGTATAAAATAAGTCATTTTTACCGTGCGCAACTACACAATTAGTCTTACTACCTCCATTTCATCTTTGGATTGGCTACTTGGCAATAAAACCAAGGCACCTTAAGTTCGTGTCTTGAAAAACTTAAACCGTATCCTGAAAAACATAAATCGTAATCTGTTCAAGTCTCCTACAATTGCGTTTTATTGTTTTCATTTGAATGGGAGGTGTTGGAGCCAAAGATTATATGTACTAGATAGAGATAATGTAGTGTTGAACAAAAGATTATGCGACTCGTATGGCTACTAGACGATCGATCATGGTATATTCTTATTTTCATTTTCGAAATAGGAATATCAGGTCAATTGTATATTCCATGTCACACTTCATTTTTTTTTTTTTTCCATTTAAATCGATGTGACCCAATATCCACACTTGAGTGACGCACCTAACTGCAGTTATTCAAAGAAATATAATTTGAGCAACAACGCCCAAAGTTGACAAAGACAACCAACACTTTTGGTTTGTTGAGATAAGGCAACAACGAATGATACATGTAGGGAAAGAGGGGATAGGTGAAACAGCCAATCACACACAAAGTTTACATAAATTCTTTCACATGGTTTAAGAATGATAACAATGCCTAGTCAGCCAGCAAGAATAATGTTTGGAGATGTTTAAGAATTTGTCATGTGTTTTGCTTTTCTTATATAAGCCAGCAACATATGAGGTTATGAACAGCCATGTTCCTACAAACAATTAGGGCTACAAACAGCACAGTTACCAAACCGAAACCACATTTACTGAACGAGACGAAAAATCTGTTCAGTGAAAAACTTGCAGAAGAATAATTGATGATTTCCACCTCAAAACCATAGCAAAAAGAACACACAGAAGAAAAAAAAAAATTAAACCAAAAAATGGACAAAACGAGCACCTAAATACTATTCAATTCTATGCACAGTGCGGAAGTGAATTTTGAGTTATGAGATTCTATGAACTGATTTGGGAAATGAAAACCCTTCTCTTGGTTCAGATCTCACAAAAAGGAAAAACTTGGAGCATATGGGAAGACTTTTGAGAGTGAAACGTATGGGCTACAAATTGGGTTGGGCTGACATGAAAAAAAATAGGGGATAAAGAAAAGCCCTATAATTTGCGGTTCAGTATTGTCGAACCATATATAAATCAATACCAAAACCAAACCAAACCAGAGTCGGTAACTGAATTTTGGTTACCAAAAAATCGGTGCTGTTCAGTTTAGGTATTTCATGCGTCAGTTTGGTTCAGTCGGTTTTTTTGTTTCATTATAAAAAAAAATGTCAAACCTACAAACAATCTCAAACAACCAAGCAAAATCAGCAGAGAAACCTAGACAGGTCTGATTTTCAAACTTGCCTCAATCATATTTGCTTACTAGGAAAATATGTTAACAATGTCAGAGTAGCTGCGTTGAAAAAGCTACGGCATCTCTTCAAGAATTACCATGAAGATTTTAAAGAAAAACACCAAGCAGGATATCAAAGATATACCACTCACACCTGCTGCACAAACAAGATACATTTCCTATAGCACTATATTATATAAAATAAGCAGCAACACGAAGCAGAGAATTCCCTCAAATTCAAGCTCATCTGAGCAGGAAGTCCTGACTGAAATTCAATGTCAACATAAAATTGATCCCAAAATGCAATGGTTTAACAAAAGTTGGATAAAGTAAAAGGATAACAAGAAACGGATCTGTGAATTTAGTCTTCTTCCTCTCCCTCTTGCTCGGCAATGTTGAAGTAACGCAGTTCATACACGTTCCTCTCTTTGTTTGAAGCAATCACTCTAAGCCAATCTCTCACATTGTGCTTCTTCAAGTATTTCTTTGTCAAATACTTGAG